CCCCAAAACCCCAAAACCCCAAAACCCCATTTCAAAATATTTAATTGAATCAAAGTAATTGGTACACTCTTTAGTTAGAATTCTCATGGTATTGGGACTAGAGAGATTAGACATTTATAAAGATACCTACATCATTAATTTAATGCCAATATCTCTAGTCTAGTGTCCAATTATATATCTCTAACGGTGGTGAAAACTGATAATTATGCCATATTTCCTTTATACTTCTTCCTTGCTGAGGTAAGTTCTCTATGACTATCTCGATATTTCTCTTCTTCTTCTACAAATTTCACTATATAAAAGCCTACCTTCATCTCTAGACCCCTCAGCTTCTTCAGATGACCACCTATAAAGCATCAGAAGACTGCCAATACACCTCTCTGGGTTACCTCTCAAATATTTGTACTTTATTTTCAACGACTTGGTACTGGCCTTGGAAACTAGAGTTACTTCCTTGACTAGAATCAAAGCTAAATGCTTGAAGGGATTTCCTAGCAGGTCACACCAAGGAGCTTACTTTCTCTCCACTTCTTTTAACTGTGTATTTCTATACTGTAAGGAAGGCCACCTACTTTAGCTTCTTCTTGAGGGAAATAAAATTCTCTCTTGGCAGATTTGGGCTATTAAGGATTTTCTCTTTCTTTTCCTCCAACTTATCCTCCTCGTAAGGAGACCCGAGGTAGTTCTTGGAAGAAACATTAGAAATAGGCTCTGATATTGTGGCTTTAGTGTTTGACTTAGGCATCACTTTTTCTGAAGACATAGCTTTGTTTTGAGGAGGTAAAGGTGGCTTAGTTGATTGTAAAGTCAATAAATTATTCTTATTCCTTCCAAAATCCAGATCTGATCCCTCAGAATTTTGATAAGGAACTCCCTTTAGTGGAGAGAAGGAGCTTATTCTTGATATTTCTTCGAGCTTGCTCTTTCTCTTTCTTTTTTGTCTTTTTAGTGAGTTATTTCCATTCAGTAGAATTTTTGAACAGAGAGAGTAAGTTTTCACCTTCTGTCTGACCGAGCTCACCAGGGATAAACATTTTACAGTTGGAATCTCCAGCTGAAGATCTTTTATCTTTGATTGTGGAATATTGCTCAAATTCTAAAGAATTGATAGAATAGTATACTTGTTGTTCTGTTGTCTCCTGTTGTTATTTTGTTGTCAATTTGGAGTCTATAAGAAATTACAATTTCCCCTTTAAATACTTACTTCTGATCTTTATCTTCTCCCTGATCGACACTGAAGCCAGCATTTTCTTCAAAGGAGAATCCACTCATTGGCTTATTTTCGATACTCTAAATTTTAGTGAGTCGATTCTGAATAAGTGCATGCTTTAATGAAGCAACCTTGGCCCTAGCAAAGATATCATAGAGTAATGATGAGCATGTACACAACTTTACACTAAAGATATCCTCAGTACCGACTATTTTGATAGATTTCCATATTTGGTGCCTTATGGATTATTGAGTTTAAGATAAGAAAGATTCTTATCCTACTCCTGTTACTAATAAAATTCTTAAGAAAATACAAAAACCAAAATGTTCTTAAAGTATGATTTACCTTCACAAGTTCAGACTGATAGCCAAGAATGTCATGTCTGGGCTCCCAGTGCTTGACTGAGACAGGCATAGTCAGGGCTTCCCACAAGTTCTGCAGATAAGTCTTATTTATTCGGATTATACATCAATGTATTGCCATAGACTCCCTTAAGATCTTCATTTGTGGTCAAACTTTTGTATAGTAATTTGTGGTGGTAGCCTCATAAGAGTATCACAAAGGAGGACGACAGCAAGCATAAAGCAATAAAAATCAGAGGGTAGGGAGCCTTACTGAAAGTTAGTCTTAGCGCTTTGTTCAAGTTATGACCCTCGTCTTTGTACTCATTCACACGGAGGAAGATTTCAAGGATTGATAGTAAAAAACATGAAATAATCAAAAAGGATAAGAGGTTAATGAATATGAAAAAGTATTTATAATTTCTTTTTCCAATTCAGGTGCCCAACCATGGACAGTGGTGATCTATTCTTTCAACACAAGCATCGCAGCTACCTCAATGAGAAGATCTGGGTGGTCTATAAATCTCTCAAGTGTATCAATACTTTAGTTTGACTGAATGAGCTTTAGAATATAGGAAATGATTGAAAAAGGGAATGGCTTGCTCTTCTACAGTCATTTCTGTAAGATCAGACCTAATTATTTTCATAAAATTCCTTCTTGGCAAATAACCAGGGTCCATGAAAGAAGCCTTCACTAATCAATAAAACATTGCAAGTTGAATTATCACTGCTACATATAGCGGAAGATGCATTCACTTAGCTGATATATAGAATAATGTGGTTGCATTGATACCTCATCAAGCAACTAAGAGAACTCCAAAGGTTATAATAGGCATCAGTACATTAGGACCTATAAAACTTCACTCTATCCCCCCTATAACCCTTACCTGTCATCACATATCCTTTGCAGAAGAACTTTGACGCTCCTGGCCAAATTTGAAATTGCTTGAGTGCCATTAAAACTTAATTTATTATATTACCAATACGAATATTCCAAAGCGGGGTTTTGGGGTTTTGGGGTTTTGGGGTTTTGGGG